ATGCATGCATGCATGCATGTATGTTTTTACATATGTGTGTGTGTATATATATATATATAGATACGCATTCATATACACCTATGACTAGCAGACGATACCTTTTCATTTCAGTGCAAGGCGAGGCTCAAACTCCAGGTCGACTTCGGCCTCGCTGAAGCTTGGGAAGAACCTCCAGCTGAACCGACGGGCCGAGGCTGAACTCGCATGATAGTTAAGGTCTCGTGGGGTTCAGAAGTTTAGGGTGTGCTTTCGTTCCGACTAACGGGGAAGATCATCCTTGCGAGTTGTCCGGTGCCCAGATGCTCCACATATTACGACTCAAGGGGTCTGCGAGCCGACTCGCCACAAGCATCCTTGCGAGCTGTCCCGTGCCCAGTGGTCTGCATAGAGCTTGAGGGGTATAGAGTTTAGACTTCAAGGGTTTGGGGTTTAGTGGGGCCGAATGGGCATTGCGGCATCTGAGGCAATCAAGGCAGGAAAAATGAGTCCGACCCCTTCCTCTCGGCCAGGCAGCATGAAGAAGGGCATGTTGTTGCCAAGGGAAGGTTGGTTGGCCGCTTCACCAGGAGAAGGGCATGCCTCGGAAGTGCGAGTGGCAACCCAGTCTGTTCTTTCCAGGCATCTCACATCCCTGCGTCGATGTTGCAAGGGAGAGGTCTTCCGAAGAGGTCGGAGGTGCGAGGGCCAGCGCCAAAGACTCCGACTGCAGAGATGTTGGAAGGCTCAAGTAGCGGATCTCCTCGCCGAGCGAACCCACCTTCCGGGACCGACGGGGCAGCAGACATGAAAAGAAATCAACATGACCTGTGGCAAAACATCCGAGGCACATACTGAATGTTCTTGTCGGCCAGCGCCGCTTCAAAACGAGACATGTCATGGCTCGCTGGGTACACGAGCTCGTAGCCTCTGTTTGCCCACTGTGTGATCGCACTGCGTCCACCAGGATGCTGACTCAGCCAAGCTGAGAAGTCGTAGACCTTTCCTTCATGTAAGTAGACGTGCTGGAAAACGATCCCTCCCAGCGAAATCACCGAGTTGGCCGCGACGCTGGCACAACTGACGAAGATGTCTCGGTATTCGCCTTGTTGCTGCCCCAACGCATCCACCTTGGTTCGCTCCTGTCGACTGTGCTGCGTATGCTCCATTCTGTCCACACTGCAAATCAGTAGAAATGTGTCAGGCTAAGCATTCAATCGCTGATACGGTCGGTATGATGTGATTCTTGTCTTTATGTTGACTGTGCCTCCTCCGAGTCGCGAGAAGCTGCCTGTCACTGGTGCCGAAGGAGCTCTCCGTGCAGTCCACGGCCGTGCAGTCCAGCAGCTTCCATCGGGAGAGGGTTCCACAGGGACCAGTGGAGGTGCGCAGCCCGGAGACCTGGGCGCAGGGCGGGGCCGGGCACACTTCAACCAAGTATTATCGGCGGCGACGCTGTTTCGTAGGCAACTTTGCAACTTTCGCATTTGGAGGCCCGGCCGTGTACACGTAGCTGCCTGACTGTGCGGAGATCAGCTCCAGGGTGCTGCTGTTCAAAACGAGGCTGGCCGAGGTCGCTTGGGCCACGCTGCACACACGGCCAGCCTGCCCACGCAGGAAAACAGTCGTGCCAAACAAGCTTCTGTGTCGTGAAGTCATGCACCATGACCATGAGCATCTCTAGCTGTCGTTACCATGGAGGAGCTCATTGCATGTCCTGCCTGCACTGCACACTGTTCCGCATTGAACGCCGTCTTGGGCACAGCCACGCAGGTCTCCTCAACAGGTTGCCTAACTGGAAGCCTGCAAAATGTCAGCTGCAGCTGCGTCCTGTGATGGAGTCTGGACATCCAGCAACTTCAGGCGGGAGTCGTAGCGGTAGGCCAAGTTGTTGACCTGGGAAGGTCAGCGCCTGCAGTCACCATGGCACCAGCACTGCCAAACACCGGGCCTTGATAAAATCGCCAAAATCACATGGAGCCTCGGCACGGGGCCATTCAGTCTAGGAAGCTGCAGAGCCCCCAAAAAAGAAAATTGAAGATTTGCCGCCTAGGTGCCGGCGTCTCGTCCAGAACGATGACACCGGGGCGCACGGAGGAGAAGGCGGCGGATGTCTGGGACAGGCCGCTCACGTGGATCCCGGGGTTCAACATCACAACCTTGGACAAACGAAAACGACAGTGCAAACATGCGCTGTGCCGCGAGGCTCGAGGCTGCGGAGCGTTGAGGCAAGAGTCTGTGGTGCCGCTGCCGCACTGGGACGTGGAAAGAATCAGCTGGCTGCCCACGGTCGCCGCAGGCTCCACGGAGCATACCTTAGCAAGTTCTGTGCTACATGCTGCACCGCAGCAACTACTTTAAATGATGCTTCGCGGCATAGCCCTGGAAGTTCAGCGAGGGCCAGCCCTGCGAACAGTCATCCCCGTCATAGCCGAAGCCAGCATCGAAGCACTCCTCAAGAAGCAAGAGCAACAAAAACCTGCCAAACCCTTCTTACAGTAGTCCCGCACCTGCTGGCAGAGGAGTTCAGCAACCCAGGCGGCCGAGTTCCGGCACCTCCATTTGTTCACCTGCAAAGAGCAGAGCAAGAAGCAGTCAGGCTCGGACATTGGATGCTGCAGCCCTTCTTCTTACCAGCATGCACTCCTCTGGTGTAGTGCCAGCCAGCTCTGTGTCATGCAGCGTTTGGGCAGCAACTCAAGCAGCTCAAGCCTAACGTATCATCGACATCTTGGAACTTTATGGCTGTGGGTCTCTGACTGCTGTCAGGCGCTTCCGTAAGTCCACTTGGCTCTCCGGATATCTCCCGATTGTTCAGTGGCACATGTTTGTAACGATCATGATGGGAGGTCCCTGCTTGTTCTGAAAAAGCACTTGCGCGCTGGAAGAGTGATGCTTGGCGCCTTGCACCGTGCCATCACCAAGACTCAAACTTGGTTCGAACGAGTTCGGGGGTTCGCCGCCTCCTTGCTGAGCAGCTTCGCACGTCGGTGATCATGTTGAGCTCAAGGCTCAAGATGAAGCTGTCAGAAGAATCACAGACAGCAGCTGTTGTGGTGGATGCGCACTTCCTTGAAGGGTTGATCACTCACGAAAAGGGCAAGGTCCGAGACCTCACCACAGAGTTCTGGTCTTTTTGTTAAGTGATGAAGAGTTTCTGACCGCCGCTGGCGAGGTACAGACGGTACAGATGCTGGCTTGGATTTTTTGCACTGGAAGTTGCTGCAATCCCAAGGGCAAAGACAACGGGCACATCACGCAACTTGAAGCCGTTGCTGTATTGGACCTTGTGGAGCGCCTTTTGCGCAGTGGCTCCACGTGAATGTGAAGCGTAGCCTTCTTGTCGATAACCATGCTGTCATTGGCGTTGCAACAAAAGGCAGAACAAGTTCAGTTCTGCCGCAAGGGCCTCTGAGACTCTCAGACGCATCTCCGCTGCCCTTCTTGCTGGCAACCTGCACTTGCTCTTTGGCTATGTGAAAAGAGAGTGGATGTGAGTGGAATCCGGCAGATGGCCCATGACTATGGGTCTCCAAACGTGCTAGCCAGAAGCAAGTCTTGTGCAAACGGTCAACGTGAGAGTGCACAGCTCGAAGAAAGTTGCTAGGTGCGTTAAGGTCCCAAGGCACTTCATCCGAAGCGGAATCGCGGTATCTTGAACATGTTTCACGCTTTTTGCAGTTCCTCAAACAAAGATCATGGCAGGTCGCATCCACGAAACTTGACTTCGCTTGATCTTGAGCTCTCCGCCTTTCTCGAACATCCTTGGAAAGAAGGCGATCCCAAGAGCTGGGTTTGAATGCGAGCTGGCGCTTGCACTCAGCTTGGTCTCGTGCTGAGCTTAGCCCCGTTGTCACGTACGCATTGGCTCCACCGGAACCGGATGGATGGAGACAGCAGTTTTGCTTGTTCTATTTGCTAGTTCAGGCGAGGGTCACTGCCGTTGGCTAAGTCTGCTTACCGTGTTGGTGCCTCAGAATCACTTCCTATTGGTGATGCCTTTGTGGCTACTGCCGTTGACAATCGTTGTGGTGGCCGTGTTCTTGGAGACTTGTCGTCTACAGTACCACCAGGTACACAGCGTAAGCAGCTTCATTATTGGCTTCGTCCTCTCAATCGTGTCACGCCTTTTTCGGTGGTATTGCTTGCGACGTGGAGGTGCCACCCAAGGGTTTCGGAAGTCGAGCAATCTTCCAGCTGTGCGTTTCAAGGGTCGGCGGAACACTATCAAGACCGCTCGCATCTCAAATTGTGATGGCATGGCACAGCTCACTAAGCTCTCGCTCTCACCCTCCAGCATGAGGAAACTTCGTGCCCTTGCCTTTCGTGCAAGGCTTGATTGGCTAAACAATTGACTCCCTGCCTCCCTACTCCACTGCTTTCTTTGTTCACTTCTGCCACTGCATGAGCCGCCTACGATTCAAGCGCATTTGCGTTGACCCACGGGAGGGCATGCCAGGGTGGCTGGAGGCTGACCCGTTTCCGCTGCTCATGCCTGTTCCTGTCTGGTGATGGTCCGAGGGGCGGTGGTTGCTGCCACGCATGCTGCTTTCTCTGGGCGATAGTCTGTCGTACAGGTGTGGTGCTCTGCTTCCCTAGTTCTATCTTTCTGCGTGAACAAACTCACTTTCTAGCGCAGCTCAGGATCAAAAGAGCGTTTGCGAGCACTAGACTGACTTTCTTTGGAATGCTTTCTTGATTGGCCTCTGTGCCGCAGCTCTTCCCCGAGTTGGCCCAGTTAGACTTCGGAACCGAGCTGCAGGAGCGCGGCGCCTCCGCAATCCAAGCAGAAGAAAACACTTAAGAAAGATAATCACATTTGAACTCGGTAGAATTCGCCCGGGCCCCCCACGCTCAAGCCGTTCAACGTGTAGCCCGGATCCAAGTCCGTCCGGAACTCGTCCGCAACGTAAATCTGATTCCCAGCGGCGACGACAATTTTCTTGCCGATGTCCTCGTAGCTCACAGCGACCTGTTGCCATCGCGAACCTGGCTCGCAGGGCGTGCGGGGCACTCCCGGCTCCTTCTCTTCCGTTGCAGCCGGGTTCGCTCGCTGCCGGTATCGGCTCCGAAGGAGGGACGGTGTCAAGGCCATCTGATCTCTGATCCAAGATTCATAGTCCTTGGACTGGAGCGCGTCGAGGCTTGCCCGCGTTGGTCCGAAGGATGCATGCAACAGAAATTGTGCATCGCCTGCTCGTGTACGTGGCATGCTCGGCGGGCTCGGGGTGCTCGTGCGACCGGGCGTGGTGGACACGGACGTCACAACCTCTCCTGTCGTGCTCGTGCTGTCGATGTCATCTACAAGGGTGGTTGAGGTTGTCGTGGCCAAAAAGGTGGTGTCGACGTCGCCGCTGCTTCCTTCATCACAGCCCGCCAGAAACAGCGGGGTGCAGATCGAAGCCCCTGCTAAGAGCACATTGGCGAGCCTACCGGCCCGCATTGGAGCCTCCCGATCCCGTCTTTTGAGGCTGGTGGCTGCGCCTATGCCAAAACATACACCACCCCCTGTGGCCGTTTCTCGGAGCCCTGAGCTTGGAGCCCAAGGCTGCGCCAGGGCCTGGAAAAAGGTTGCGACGCAGAAAAAATCCAAAACGGTGACAACTGGGTTCCACACTCACGGAGGGCCCCGTCGAAGTTACCCGCCTCCCGTCACGGCCGAAGCAGTGCTGGTCACTGCTGGTGCATTCCCTCACCTCGTAGAAGGCACCCCACCGGGAGTCGTCACCTGCCTGCAACCACGATGGAAAGAGTCCAAGTTCTCCCTTGCGAAGAAACTGCTTACGGCTGCCTGCCTGCCAGTCCAGGCCATCTGGTCCATCCTTGAAACCCACGAGATCAAAGAGACTTCAAAGTGACAGTCGAGGCTCTCGCCCCGCGAGGGCACACGATTTCGCAGGGTGCACACAGGATCTGTGCACCTCAGAGCTAGGATGGCTAGGAGGGCCCCAAGTGTCGTTGGAGTGCTCCCGGGCCCATGGGGAGGATCATGTGATCGGAGGTTACCAGCTTCTTCTTCACGTGGTTCACCCTGGCCAAGACCTGGCTGGTGCCGCCGAGCGGTTGCACTGACACACCGCTTTTCCGCTTTTAGGAGCCGACGCCCTTGCCGATCAAGCCCGGGTCGAAGAGCTCGTAGTCAAGAACCGCCTGAAAAAAAAAGCGGCTCTGGGCAAGAGAGAAAAAACTGGGGCCGGCCGGGGCCGCTGCGACATCCACTCGGCCAGTCAAGTTGTTCTCATCCGGTCCATCGGGATCCACGACCGCAAGCTCGTGAGATGGCCGGTGCACGAACCTGAGCACCGCAGAACACCCCGCCGCAACGCACTGCGCATCAGAGCACATCTCGGAGCAGGGATCCGCGCTTCACCTGCTGCGACTTTAAGCCGTTCCTGAATTCTGCACTTGCACCCAGACCCGAGGAGAGGAGAGAGGAGACCCCTCCCTTCAACAGGGGGCCCGGGCTCCCTTGCGATGGTCATGTAGAGGTCCGCGATGTACGCCCCCCGGTGCCTCGACCGGGACGGAGTGGTTCACCCATGAGAGCACTCTCACTCTCGCTGTCTGTGCCGTTGCTAGGCAAACACTCAGGTGCTGCTCGGCGACGCCGTGTTGGCGACGATCTCCGAGGCGGGCAGATACCTCGGCCACTGGGGGCGGGCCGCGTCTCCGTGGGTGTGTTCTTACCGAGCTCTAGGGCCTCGCCGCAGTCAGCAGTGGCAGGGCAGACCCGAGGCCAACGAAAAGCCACCGTGCCTAAGTCAAGGCAAAGCGGATGAGCGCAGTTGTGTCGGTCACACCACGGCCCAGGCATCGTTCCCGAGGACACTGTGCTTCTGTCGTTTTCCATCTTTGTCTGTGGCACCTGAAGAGCACTCCAACTTGTAGCTTCTTCTCATGAACGGTCCCGGCTGCCCCACGCGGATGGATGCATGCGCATCACCGTGAGCATGTCGCGCGATGCCATGGCTGCACTGGCTGCCTCAGCCTACCCAAACCCGGGAAGCCCGCTGAGGCCAAAGCCCATCAGCTGCCCCACGACATCTCGTACCGCCTCGCAGGCCCCGGCTCTTCAGGCCCGAGACTGAGTGGCAACGGCCTGCCTGAACATAGGCTTCCACAGGGGAGGCACGCTGATCCACGAGATTCAACAGCTCGTCGGCATGCTGGACCTCAAGTGCTGCATGCTGGAGAAGCTGCTGGCAAGGTAGGGCCCTGACCTCGGATTGCCTTTCCAAGAACAGCGCGATGGCCTCTCCCATGGCAAGAGACCAGCCGAATTCTCAGCCTTCAAGCGAATGAGGCCCCGCCTGTGCTTGCTGGGAGTCGCTGTAGTCAACCCGGCTAGGCGCCGGCTTGGCATTGATGCGCCATTCACGAGTCGTGGGATCCTCAGCCACTGCCAACAGAAACACATCGACCTGCGTAGAAACCTCGCTTTCCCAAACTTGTGTGCCGCACCCAGATGGGATGCTGCGTTTTGGCGCCACGGTTATCATGCCTCTCCCACGTAGTTTCATGAGCACCTTTTTGGCCTGATGTGTTTGGGGAAGCGGGATGGCCTGTAGATGACGTCCATGTCAAACTTCGGCTCGAAGGGTGGCGGCCTCTAAGAGTTCCACAGACCCTCGGACTGTGGGAGCAGTGCCAAGGCGGGGGCGGAGGCTCCTTGTAGCCAAGCATGGCCTTCAGCTGCCGCTGTTCCTGGCCGAATTAGATCTCTAAGACCAACATCCGCAAACAAGAGCCGGACGGCCGGACCATCTTCGAGGACGAGTAGTACCTCAAGGAGAAGCTACGAACATCCGAAAATGCAAAGGAGAAAAGAAACCCTGCAATGCTCAGCTTCTGCACTTGTCTCCGAGGATGATCCTATTCGGGTCGTTTGCGGCCTGGACTGAAGATGCTCAAGAGAAGCTCTCTGCCACAGGAATACACGTGTGGACAGGCAGCTCCTCCTCCTCGTCCTCTTCCTCCTTCTGCTGCTGCATCAGGGAATCGAACTTGGAGTAGTCGGTGGTATGTTTTTTCACGAGCTTCTCCTCAAGTCCAATCTTCGTCCAAAGACAAAAGGTGCACAGAGTCTGCAAGGAAGGTCTCCTGCTGCTGCTGATTGCGGATGTCCCTGGCTTTTTGTGTCCAGGTGACCAAGTCCTTGTTGCTTGGCCTCTCCGTGAGGGCTGGACGAGAGGGGAAAGCTGTTCTGTTTCCACCCTGGGCCCTGAGCACCTGACTCCTTCTCAAGGCCTTTCTCGAACATCTCCAAGGCTTCCTGGTAGTACTCCATCCTCGGCTCGGAGCCAGTGTAACAAAACGATGATTTTTCCACTCCCGGGAGGTCCGGACTCCAAAGCCGCACGGCCTGCTCGGAAGTAGCCCTTAGACCTGGGCGTGCTCGGAGAGGGGCTGCGGGCGTATTGTCTCTGCGAAAGCACAGCCAGGCTGCCAGGATCTGTTCTCCTTGATGGCCTTGGTGGCCTCCACCAGAGCCTGACTACAAGAGCGCTCTTCGCCGCTCGCTGCACGGCCAGCGCTGGCGCCTCTGTGTATCTCCCCAGCTGGAACTGGCAAGCAGAGCCTTCTTGCACAGTGGCATCACATTCTGTCAACCCTGAGTCTACAACGACGTCAGCAAGGGCTGGACGATTGCTGTAAATCTTGTACCTCTCGGGGACATCCTGCCGTTTCTGACACGCTGATAGCGGACCGGCGTTCGCTTACACACGACCAGACACGAAAATACGACTTGCCGCAGGTCCCCGAGCAAGGCGCCCGCATAGTACTCCAACGCCTGCTCCTCATCAGCAGAAACTGTCACCCTCCTCAAGCAGGAACGACGAACTGGGGCCCCAAACGTACTCTTTCTTCTGGAACGCTAAGTTACCCAGGTCCTGCAGCAGCTGGCTTTGGTAAGAAGGGCAACAGGCAGGCAAAACCAACCGGGTCCAGCCCAGTTTTGCAAGCTTTCTGCTTGTGTGTGCGACTGGTCGGTGCATGGTCACATGTGCAGTGAAAGACCCCGCTTAGGAGTCGCAAAGCGGGCGAAAGACCAGCTACGTAAGTTCTGAAAGGCGCCGTCTTGTCTCCCGCGTTGGTGGGCAGGCATGTGCACAGTACGAAGAATCTGGAAGAAGCGGTCTGGCGTGTAGGGCATTCTTTGTGCTGGAGAAGCTTCCCGACTTTGTCGCAAGATCTGTCGGAGCTGTCACGTAAAACCGGCGATTTCTCCGCGCAATCCGCTTGGTGCAGCTCGCGCAACGGAGAGAGCAGGAGAGAGCTGAGCCCGTGGGCCAGGAGGGGCCCGGGATCTCTCAGCTGCATGGGTCTAAGACCCTGAGACCCCACAGATCTCTTCATAGAGTTTTCTCGTCGTTGATGGAACCCGCGAGCACGTGGAGGCTAAGGTACCTGGCCTCGCCAGGCGGCAGCATTGCATGACGGTAACAAGTAGGGTGTCCCCAAAATCTTCGGCAACTGAAGGTCCACGAAACACTTGGAGTGAGCAGAACATCCTTGGCTTTTCGGGAAGCAAAGGAGACCATCTCCGGTGAGCAGTCTGCCAACTTCGCCTGCGAACCAACCCATCGCAAGCAAAATGCGCTTTTCGGGACACTCAGTGTGCCTCCTTGACCAAGCCTTCGACATTGCCCTCCTTGCCCAGCTTCGTTATGCGCTTCCTGTGATGTGGAAGAGCCCTGCACAGCTCTCTCAGGTGCTCCGGATCGGAACTGGGGATGCTGCAGCTTGTCATCCAGCGACTCCTTGTCCTGCAGTGGAGATACGAGACAATGTCGCTGCCTTCTTCACACTTGAACACAAAGCTGCGCCTCCTCACTCTCGGAGGAGGATCCGGAGGAGTCCTCTTTGGCCATGGCAATCGCCTTTCGTTGCCAGCGCACCCACAAAGAGAGGAGAAGTCTTTGCCCAAGTTCTCGGCCTCTCCGCTCGGCCGAACTTTGGAGCCGTGTTTACAGGAAAAAAGCACAGAGACAAGACATCATGCAGGCGTTCGCTGTTTAAGGCTCTATCAGGAGGCGGCTCCCTTCCTTGTCTTCCAATGGTTCTGGGAGCCTCAAGTTCTTTTTCGGGGCGGTCCCGGGCTGTCTCGAGCTTTGCAGGTTCAGGGTGCCAAATAGCTCGAGCCTCTAGCAGCTGCACAACCCCCGCACAAGCTCCAGTCCCAAAGAAAAGCTGCGAGAAGTGAGAAGATCGCAAAGCCGTCACTAAAGTACAGGTGGACTTCTGGACTCTTGTTTTCGCTCTCGGACGAGAGCTCAGGGCTTGGAGCGGAGTTCTCAGCTCACGAACTTGGAGAGGAAGCCGGTGTACTCCTTCTTGCCTGGCTGAAAATGCCGCATTCTCCACACACACACACACACACACACCGCAGCGCTGCTTTGAAGCGCGGCCTTTGGTCAAATTCCCGAGAACCTGGCAGGCGCATGGACAGTCGCTTCATGACACCTTTTCCCTCTCTCGCAACTGCAACTCCGCAAAAAGGACCTTTTTCCAAGCCAAGTCTTCAGGTCCACCAGACGCGATTGCGAGCTGGTCAGCTTATCGGCTTGGCGGCCCTTTGCCGTCCGTGGCCCTCTCCTTTCGTTTCGAGCTGTTCGCCGTCACTGCGATCCTCGAGGGTTCTCAAACCATCCAGCTCCCGGGCTCGTTCTCGTCGTCGCCACTTCCCAACACTGCTGGTGCTCTCCACGCACTTCGCCGCGCTTCGCCGCGCTTCGCCGCGCTTCGCCGCTTCGCGCTTTCATCTCAAGCCTCAGGCGCCGTCTCGTCAGCTGGCCTTAGCAAAACGTGAGGCATCGGTCCCTGCAACTGTCCCTGCACGAAAGGGCCGTAGCCTGGCCTCGCGGCCGTGGCGGCGCCCCACAGCTTGAAGGCCTTGTGGCACCGCGAAAGAGAAAACCCGTAGGCCGTAGCTCCACCTCAGCCTCCGCTCTCAGAAGCCTCAGGCCCTCGCCCTCGGCTTGTCGACTTCAGTCCTCAGATTCCTCTGGCAGAGAGGGCAGCCGCCGCCTTTCTTCGGCCACGCCCTGCTTCGGAGGGCTTTCACAATGCAGAGCAGATGAAAGCCTCGGGCAGGAGCCAGAGCTCCCCCAAGAGTCTACCCTCTTGGCAGTTCTGAGCTTCTGGGCTTCCGGCAATGCTGACAATTGGCCATCTGCACCGTGTGCTCCAGCAGCCACCGAGCCTTTGTCACGCCCCGCACATGTTTGACAATCCGTCCTGGCTGCCAAGGCGCCAAAATATGCCAGCCTTGCGAACTCGGCAGGCTCCAGCAGTGCTCGTCTGGAAGCCCCTCAATCGGCGCAAGCCTGCCCAGCATTGGCCAAAACGGGGGCCCTTCGATCCCTCCACGACCCTCCTGAGACGGTGCAGCGTGGAAGCCGATCCAGCGCCGCCGCGCGCCAAGCCTGCAGCGCCAAGGCGGGGATCGGATGCCAAGGGGCTACCCATCTGAACAAGGTGGCAGCTGCTCACTCCCTTCGCTCGCCTCCGGCCATCGCAGGGGCGGTGCCTGTCGAAGACATCACAGACATTGAAAAGTTAATACCGCTCTGCCCGCTGCCCGCTGCCCGGTGCCTTGCCATCACAGAGAGCGCAGGCACAGACCGCTTCCGGTTTTTCCTCTGGGACCTCCGCCTCGGCCTCCGATCGGAAAGGCACCGCGAAAACAGAAGATCTGGGAAACCAGCTGTCAGGTATCCCTCCGGTCCAACGGCTCGTCGCCTGTGTTGCAGCCTCCTTCTTACTGTGTAAGGTCGAAATCATAGCAGCAACGGGGCCAATGAACCGCGGTTCAGAACAAAGTGATACCAACTCTTGCTTGCACGACGGAACCGCTGTGTCGGAGACATGTTTTCATGTGCGGATACTAGGCATGGTGGAAAGTTATAACAATCCATCTTTCACTTTGTAACCGCGCCTCAGAGTTGAAATTACAGGAACCGGCATCTGATGGCCAGAAACCAAAACCCCAAACCCAAGGCTCTACACTGAATAAAAGCATGTTTTGCGGACTTTGCGGAGGCTTGCCACAAGGCACAACGAGATTTCTACCCCTCGGGAATTTCAATCAGGTTGAACGATACCCGGTCGTAGATCGGTAAATGGGGTTGAACGATACGGCCTAATGGGTTCAAAAAAACATGGGTTGCGACGCCTTCTGCCAGGCTCTCAGTGGAACTGCAGTACAAATCAGAACAGATGCTCATATAGGCGGCCCGAAGGAACCGCATGCTGTCACGACTTCCACCTGCATGTCCATGGACTCGCTCGGCATTGGACCATTACGGGTTAGCCCCCTGGAGTGCTTTCTGAACGCCGGTGGCTTCTGAATCACAGCAGACCTTCTTGAAGCAAGAACTGATTCCTTGCTGTTTCCATCCCTGCAAACTCCCCTTTCAGCACCATGGTCTTGACTGCCTCGACTTCAGCTTCAAGTTGCCTGCCGAAGTCGCCAGCCATCCCGAGCGCTTGGCAGGATCGGGTCAGAGCAGGACAAGGAACTCAGAAAAGCGTGCGAAGAAAGCCCAACAAGTGACAGCAACGAGGCCAACTTCACGAAAGGCCGAGGGCGACCAAAGCTTGGACAATGAAATCACAGGGCGACATCACCAGGTTCACCGGCCTGCCACCGGTATTCGCTCGGGAAAGTGATCCTGGGTACAGGTGACAGCATGGACCAACAAGTAGCGAAAAACGCCGGTGCAACGAAGGTGAAGTCCGCAGGTGAAGGGCCAAAGCAGGGAATGCCCGGAAGCGAATCTCGCCACAGCCAGGGCTTGACTGTGTTCCGGGGCCGCCCTAACCAGCAAACACATATGCGAACATCCGGTGAAGCCCTAACGGCTAACACATGGAGTTTCGTGGAATCTAAGCTATGGCACACATCTCCAAAACACGCCGACAACTGATCCATCGGCCTCGTCGCCGTCTCGGGCGGCAACGATCTTCCCGGTGAAACTCGCCAACCTCCAGAAACACACAGCGGGCGAGGCTCGCGACTCCAGAGGCCGGGCTCTCTCTGAGGCCGGGGGGCTCGGCTCTGAAGAGCCGGCCAAAGATCGCTTCGACCACATCCCATTCGCCTCAAAGCAAGGCAACAAAGCAGGAGACAAAGCAGACCGGGTAACATGAGGGATTCTTGCTTATAAACTTGGGGCCAGCAGCCCGGCTCCACCGAGAGTGCATCGAAGACCGACTGGATCACTTCGTACTTCGGATTGGCCTCCAATTGACAATTAGCCAAGACTCCGTGACTCGCGCGGCACTTGCTGTGGCTGTGGCCCCGGCAGCTGTAAGGTCGGGGATACGTCCATTCTGGATGAGCTGCTGGCCGAAGCACAGGATCCGAAAAGCCTCGTGAACGCCACAAAGAAAAAAAAGAAGCTCCGCGTTGAGCCGTCGCTTTGAAGGGCCGGGCCCCCTGCAAAGTAGCAGTTCTTCGCAGCTGAGTAGAGGTCCTTGCGAGAGGCGCGAGCCGATAGCCGCAAAGGTCCTGCATGGGCTACCATGTGCCTTCCCATGCCCTTGGTCCTTTCCTTTGCCATCCATCCTCCGATGAGCCTTCAGCCAGGTGTACTCTGCATACGAGGCCACCGACTCCTGGCAGACACCTCTGACCCATTTCAAGTCTAGCAAGTGCTCTTGCCCCAAAGTCTCCTCGAGGATGTCCAGCGGAAGCGTCAAGTTTCGCACACGGGGATCGTCGATCTCAAGTAAGACAAACCGCTTCGGCGTTGAGATGCAAGTCCTCGAGCCGCACTGCTGTTCTGACGGTAGCTTTGTCTGGGCCAAAAACATCGCTACTTTCTGGCAGAAAAGACACTCACTGCAGTGCACATCAGCCTGCAATCCAGCACAGAAGGAACCTTTGGAAAACGTGCGACCAGGGCTCAGCATGGTCAGGTCCATCGCCTCCAGCCTGCTCAGCCAGAAGTCACCTCGGCCAAGTCGTCCAAGCGCGGGCGCCAGCGCGGGCGCCGCGAGTACGAGTCCACTCAGCACGAAGCCGCCACCCCTCCGCCTTCGCCGAGCTCGCTTTTGCCGCTCGCTCGCCAAGCCGAGGTGCCGGCGTTCGTAGACCGAGACTTCGCAGCGTCCGCGGATAAACTGGGCCTCCTGCCAAAAGGACGCGGACACGATGGACACGACGGAGACGGCACTGCTCCTTCGACCCCGAAGTGATGACCTTCTTGGCTTCGTCCACAATTGCGAGCAAATCCTAAGTGGCCGACGGCCAATATCCTCCAGGACTCCAAAACCCCATATTGCAGCCAAGCTTCCAAGTCTTTCGGCTCCTTGTTGGAGAAAATCGTGGACCCGTGAATGTACAAACCCACCTGGAATCAGATCTTCAAGAGAGTTGGAGCCTCTGGAGCTGGAGCCTCGGGTCCAGACGCAGCGGCCCCAATTTTCTTCGATCTCACCGAGAACTGCTCGCAGCTCTTCGTCACCGAGGAGGCCCGAGCCTGCCGGGCCTGTAGCTGCACAGACGCGCGCTTTTCTGCTGCATCTCTTCGTCTCCGTGTGCCTCCGACCGTGGCAGCGCGGTCTGAGGGCCTTAGACGTGTCCGTGCCCAGCCGCTCAGCAGAGCTCAAACCGAGAAGCAAGCGGAGAGGTGCCGGCGGCTTGTTGGCTGCGGCTGCGCTCTGCGAGAGCCAGGCGGCGCTCGCGTGCGGCCCGTTGCATCTCTTTCAGCTCCTCGGCAAACCTCTCCATCCTCTTCCATAGGTCGCCGCGGATCGGGGAAAAAAAAGGAGGAATCCTCCCCCTAACTTTCTCTTTGCGAGCTTGAGACAGAGAAGACGAAGAGAGAGCTGCAGAGCGGCTGCTCCAGGGACTTGCTTCGAAGCGAGACGCGGCATGCGCCACGGGCCTGAGCGGAGAGGTTGCCCTTGAGCCCCTTTAGCAAGGTCTGGTTCGCCAGGGCCACCTGAAAAGAGACTCGGGATCCCCAGCTGAGAGAGAGAGCGCAGAGGCGCAAGCAAGCTAGGACTGGGGCCGACTTCTCGACAGCCTGTCGAGAAGCACACTCACGTTACACATTGGACTCAAGCTGAGGAGAGAGTACAACTCGCTGCATGTCGGCCTGCAGGTGCACCAAAGGAACCTGATGCTGCACCTCCGAGTCCACCACTGGCAGCCTCTTGACCTAAGCCAACAACCATGACATGACCTGCATAGAACAAAACGATGTTCGCATTCCTCCGGACAACGCCGCACCTGGGGCAGCGCAGCTGGAATCTGCTGCACCTGCAGACAAGGCAATCAAAAGCCACATCTGACATAGTCCCGAAAGAATCTTCCGGCACAATAGCGCTGGGGCATCAGCCGCTTGGGTCTTGGCGCCCTCCTGCTTAATTACAGCTTCCATGTACCGGACGGACGCGTAGAATCTGTCTCTGACTTCTCCGGACAACGCCGCACCTGGGGCAGCGCAGCTGGAATCTGCTGCACCTGCAGACAAGGCAATCAAAAGCCACATCTGACATAGTCCCGAAAGAATCTTCCGGCACAATAGCGCTGGGGCATCAGCCGCTTGGGTCTTGGCACCCTCCTGCTCAATTACAGCTTCCATGTACCGGATAGACGCATGGAGCCGAGACAGCCTCACCTGGGACTGCGGAGCCGGAACTTGCTGGGGTAGCTGGGTTACCTCGGAACAGCACTAGGCCATTCCTCGACAGAACCGTTGACCAATTTTTCGGCCTGCGTGACCTTGGCTGCGACACCTTGTGCAGTCGATGACCTCAGGCAGGCATTGGCGCATTCCCTGACAGGGAGCTGCAACCTCTTTTAAACCCCCCCGGGCTCCCGACTTGTGCGCTCTCTGCTCCAGCTCCATCATGTAGCACTCACCTTCACCACGTTGGAGCTTGACGCGTTTCCGGCGCGGCATTGCTGTGCCAGTATTACTAAGAGTCAGTAAACATTTGTGCAGACTTGGGGGCCCTGCGAAGCGTGTCAATGGTGTCAGATGCTTTCACTGCTGCAGAGAGAACACTTTGAAAGCGCCTCAAGCACGCAAACTTGAGGAGAGTACATTCCGTATTGAAACGTCTTCCTCGCACAAAGCACGGCCGGCTTCGCACTGACCGGCGGCACGAGGCGCGCTCTGGGACTCATTTCTGGCAGTACCACTGCTACTACCCTGTTGCCAAAAAGCTCATGGCCACAGATAAAAGCACAAGACCCAGGCTGGCAATAGTTGCCCACCGTAGCTTCCGACTTTGCTTGCCTGATCTCGTCAATATCATGCTGAACACAACTCGCCTAAACTCCCGGAATGGGTGAATCACAGCAAGAACCTCAAAAACAGAGGCAGCTCCGCATGGGCCTTGCCTCAGCCGGTGGCTTCGCCTGACATGCCCGGCTTTTTTTCGAACTGGTGCAGTTCCTGATACTCTCTTCAAGGCCCCTGCAAGCAGTGGCCAAAGGCAAGGTCGGCCACCGCGTCGGAGGACAGGAAATCCTCCTGATATCGTATTTCAAGCCCTGCCTGAACTCACAGGGTTTTCTATGCAAAACAGGAAGACAGCGCTGAGCGCACCATGGCCCCAGAGCAGGCGTGAGCAGAGCTCATCGTTTCGCAAAAGCTGGATTTGTTGAAATCATCCCGCATCTGTGCCTGCTCAACGCACCATCAAGAACAGCAACCGCAAGCACCCAGCATTTGCAGAGAGTCCCGCCAAAGCCAGCATCTCGCCAAGAAGACCGCATGTTTCTTTACCTCAGTCAACGCTCATGGACAACTTGTCCAAGCCTGAAGCCGGCGATGACAAGGCCCATACTTTGCAAATGCTTGCGGCAAACTGACACACTGGACTCTTCCGTCACGTGGCCAGAAGTGTTGGCCTAGCACGAAATCCACTCCAACCGGCACCAGTGCTCTCGCCTGATCATGCCTTATCCACGATGTCCGCGCATTTATTCGCAGTGAAGACTTGGATCTCCTGTCAGAACGGCGAGTTGCATCACGCGACATCATCAGAGCAAGGCCGGCCGCAGAATTCTCGAAGATTAATGCATGGGCCCCAACCAGCACCTTCAGGAAACCGACGTGTCGCTTTTATGGCTGCTTTCCATGGAAATGGTGGCAGAACTGGCAGAACACACTCATGTCCGTGCCGGAAATAAGATTCCGACAGCCAGGGCAGCGCACCTTCACCGACACTTCTAGCCGTGAATAGGATCATGGAGTTTTCTATCTGGGTTACAAACCCAAAAGGCACTTCAGCGCATTGCAATCCCAGCCACTTCGTTGACATCACTTGGCGGCTCGCAAACCGGTCATAGCCTTGAGCCTCTGTCTTTGCCGCGGCGCATCAACAAGGAAAAGGAAGCATCCTGGTGATCATTACAGTGCTTTCGATCCCGCTCCGATAGATTGTCTCAACGGCAAAGCTTTGAACTTTCTGACGCGTCATCCCAAGACACCAATAAAATGGGTCTGTTGAACCGCACCTTGTAGTTCAGTTTACATCGTGTCCAAATGACACGTTTGATCCTTTTGATCGGCAGAAGGCGGCATGACCGACGTGACCCACTTATGAACCCACGGTGCTTTCTAACATTGAAGGGCTGGATAACGCTACATGAGTATGTTTACTCCGGGCTACCCTGAGCAGCACGTGACATGAGTCCCATGTTGTGTACGGTTAATGTGGTGTGTACGAGTAGCCACACCCACACCCACCCACCCACCCACCGACACATCCACACCCACCCACACCCATACCCACACCCATACCCACACCCCACACCCACCCCACCCACGAGGTGCTGGTGTTTGCACTGGTGTTTTTGCACACGGACAGCAAGTACCTGGTCATCACTGCTGTGCATTCTGACTTGCCTTGCGAAGCTTAAATTCCTTGGAAGAACACGGATCGCAAAGCTTTTCTTTTTAAACTTGACGTCGAAAAAGTGGGGTTGCACACATCCGCAAAAGCGACATGGCGTGAGACAACTGGACACGTAGCAATAGAACAAAACTGGTAATGGTACTTCTCGGCATAGGGCAACGCGTCCCACGACAGCTGTCTTGGCTCACTAGCTAAAGCAAACGTTGCCGCTTCCAACTTATTGCAAGCAAGAAGCAGAAGTGTGGAAGAAAGAAGAAGTGGGCCTGGCAAGTTTGCGAGCACCTGTCTCTAGAACCGGGCACCGCAGCAGGTCCTCGAGCTGGCGGCAACCCTGGCAATCAAGGAGCTGTCTTCCCAAGCCCGAGCAACTTGGGTAACGCCCTGCTGCAAAGAGGCAGAGGCTCCCTCTGCTCAGCAGTGTAATGAGAAACCGGTCTCTGGTTTGGCAAACATCACTCTTAACTTCCAACCGTGGACAAAGCTGAAATTGTGGCGCGACCAAACCTTGTCCGAACAAGACGTGCGGGTTGTGACAGACGCAGACCGCTTCTTCCCCTTTTTTCCCTAGAACCATGGGAAGTGTTTGGCGGCTTTCCTTGTGCCTTGCTACTTTTTTTGGCGTATGCGGGCCTCAGTGACAGCGGCTGCTGCGCTCGGTCCCAGTAAGAAAGCTTTATTTCATCGGCCTTCATTCCACCAGATCTTCAGCAAATAAAAAAAGAGAATATATGCAAGTCCA